ATCTGATGTTTGAAACATCGTGTTGAAATCGTTCAATCTGTGCAGTTGGGCGCTCAAAAACTCTAGTTGGGCTTTAAGGTACTTGTTGCGCAGGGCATGAAGAATACTTTCCGTAGTATGCGAAGGATCTCTTTTCTCTGCAACAAAGGAAGTGAAGTAAAGTTGAAGGGCATTCTATTGCTCTAGAATCCTTTTAGCACACGATTCTAACGACAACCATCTGGTTTGGGCTAAACATAACAACACACAACACGAATTCTTGAAACTGTTGGTATTCCTTTTGTCTCAAACTTGATCTGCTAAAATGCGAGTAGACATTTCTACATAGATCTTCCAGCGAAGTAGACAGCTTTTGGCACGCGTATGATGAACATAAGTGGATCAAGTGGCAACTGCATTTTACGGCAAGAACATGTGGAACATCTTGCTTCACGAGGGACACAACGCTATGTTGCTCACCAAACATGACATTCGTTGTGTCTGAGGAATATCCTATGATATTTCCCATTCTGATTGCTTGATAAAGCCTGTTTGCAGTTGAGTCTACGACAGATACCATGTCAAAAAATCTGGTGACAATCTTCATATCGCTTTCATCAAAATATACCACGCATATTCCTAATTGCTTTTCGGTGGAAACATCGGTTGTTTCATCAGGAATTATGCTGAAATACGATTTCGATTTTCGTAAGATTTCCACAAGCTCCATTTGAAAATACAATCCAACACCTTGCCTTATAATGTTAGTGCACCATGTGGATGACAAATGGATCCCTTTGAGGATCTCGACTTCTTTCCCATTTTTAGGTGCAACTGACTTGAACAAACTCATCAAATTATTTATCAAACTCAATGGCAGGTTATGCTGTGCAAGGAAGGAGCACATTCGAGCCTCTGTTGTTTCTTTATAGGTGGTGATTTCGTTTTGACGTTGTAGGTGGTGATTTCGTTTTGACGTTGTGCAGATTGAGTGTGTCGTCGAAGAGCAGTCTTCCGACACGATACTGACTTGTTGCACAATTTGCAGGAGCAAGCATTTTCCCCAGGACGCGGGCGTACCAACCAATCCTTAAATTCTGTATCCTCTAACCACTGATGTCTGAATTGCTGTACATCTACCTTTTTTGCTGTCTTTTGACTCTTTTCAGGTGGTCCTTCGTCTGCTGACTCTGATCCGGACTCTTCTTCCGCGTCTTCGTTTTCTTCGAAAAACGTGAGATTGAAACCGCTCATGTTTAAAACATTAAACACATCATTATTCTTAATATTTTTTGTATAAATTATTAATTTTTGAAGTGTATTT